TGCCCCTGCCGCTGCAGGGGGCGTCCAAGCTGCGCAGTCACCTCCGAATGTCCTCCGAGGTGGCGCCCCCGGTCCCCCGCAAGGGTCTTCGGGGCTCTTCCTCAGCTTTGAAGAGCCCAGAGGGCCTGGTGCTCAGCCTGCATGAGCAGGGTGACCCCTGGAAGGCCGTGTCCCTCTCTGCACATTTCTCTCCTACAGTTTTATAAACTTCCCCAAAGTGCTTCCCCTTTCTGGCCAGTTCAGCAAGCGTCCAGATGCCTCTGGGCCAGGTTCTGTGCCGGGTGTCGCCTGGCCTGAGCTAGTGTCCACAGAGCCCGTTCTGGATGGGAAGAAACAGGCCCAGCAAGACACCCCAGCCATCCTTAACCGCCCCAGCCAGACCCAGGACCACCCACATAGAGGGTGCCTCTAGGCCAAACAGGCCAGAGGTCAAGACTAGGGGCTCCATCGCGGCCTGCTGCAGCGCCAGCAAGGCCCAGGGTCTGAGTGAACCCCCTGCCCACCGCCTCCTCCTTCCTGGCCCCCTCCTCCCCTCAAACCACAGGGCCTGTCGGTCTCTGGAACGCGTGCCCAAGACCTCGGTGATATTTTGAGTTTAAGAAAACTTTGCAGTCGGCAGGAGCTCTTAAAGGTTATAAATAGCAGCAGCGGGAGCCCATGCCGGGAGAGGCGGAAACACGTGTCAAACACGCCTGGGAGGGGGTATTCCGAGGCACAGACCCCCCCCCATACACACTAGGGACCCATCAGGCTTCTGGGGATTTTACAAGCACTGGATCGGGAAGTCACACCCCACCCGGAAGGCGTCTGGGAAACAAGACCCCTTCTTGGCCCCACCAGGGTCCCCAGTGGCTGGCCAGGTTGCCTGGGGCATGTGGGGGTACTGGTGAAGGGGGGATCTGGGGTGGGAGGCCTTGCCCCCCCATCCTGCCACCAGGGGCCTGGCGGAGAACTGCCCAGTGCCAGGCCGAGGGGGTCTGGAGAGTGTCCACTATGGCCCAGTTAGTGGCTCGGGGAGTGGAGACTAGGAGGGGAGGGGATTACTTCCAGGTCATGGCGAGCCGCGCAGGGGTCAGACCTCTAGGAGCACAGTTGTTTCTCCCAAACGCTGCTGTCACCTCCCTTCCATTCCGAAGGGCCCTAGGACAATGGCCTGACCCACCCCAGTGGAGCAGGATGGGAGGACCAGACAGCGTGAAGGATGACACCAGGGCAGGGCAGAGCGCCTCCCCAATCCCATGTCCCTGCTTCCTGTGATGACCTCCGGGCATGAGGATGACGAGGCAGCCAGAGAAGAGGAAGGCTCCCCCAAACCCAGTGAGGTGTGCACCCACACCTGCCCTGGCAGGCTGTGGATTGTCCACCACCCCAGGTCAGCTGTGGGGTCGCAGCAAGAGAGCTGGCTTCCGCTTGGGCCGGGTAGTTTCAGGCCTGCTTCGACAGCCTCCCGACAGCCCTCCTGAGCCCCCCGGCCGCTGGATGGACACTTCCGCCTCTGCCACCTCCTTGGGACTGGCCAGCGGCTCCACGATGGGCCAGGGGCAGGAGGCAGCACTCTCATCAGAGCTCGGCAGTCACCATCCATTCACCCTGCCCTCATGGCCCCACCTGCCGCCCTTCACCCGGCAGGTTTGGGGGCAGCAGCCAGGCCTGGCGTCCAGGAGCTCTGAGCCTCAGAGCGCCCCAAAGGGTTTATGGGGCTCCCAATGAATGGGAGCCTGTTGAGCCTGGAGGGGGCCGGGCTCGAGTAAACATGGCTGGGTCTGAGCAGCCATTCTCCCCCGCCTTCTTCCCCAGGACCCGGGACCAAAATACGACTTCCTGTCCCTGGAGCTGAGGCTGGATCGCCCCTCAGAGCCCTGGGCTGGGGCCCACCAGAGAAACAGACAGGGCTGCAAAGGCACCCCGAGGCTCGAGAAGACCTCAGGTCTCCGGATTAGCAGGTCGGCTGTGTCCAAGATCCGCGCGCTTGGGCACTTACCGTGAGCTACCCCTCTGCTGAGGGCAGACCCAGAGACTGAAGTCCTGAGCAGCAGGTCAGGTCTGAACAGGCCCCAGCCTCTTGTGTCCCTGGAGGATGGGGCCTGTGGGAAGAGCAGGGCGGTGCACGTGCCCTCGGAGACTGTGGGGTTGAGGGTCATCGTGGCAGGCAAGCCTGACCTGGAGCAAGGGGCCTCTACCCTCCGGAGACAACTGCCCACGGGCCTGCAGCACTGAGGTGGCTCCCACCAGTCTCTGCATGCTGGGACACCCCTCAACTGGCACAGGTGGGGTGGCTGAGTGCCAGGCCCTGTCCCTACGGTTTTGCTACATGCGCTAGCAGTCCGGCCCACTCTCGGGCCTCAGTTTCCCCCACCTGGAGGACAGGAATTGCCAAGCTCCCTGACCACTTTTCTAGCTTATGCACCTACAAGTATTTAGAAAACTATGACAAGGTACTCTCCCAAGCAGCCTGGGGAGGCAGGGCTCTTGGGGACAGGGCATGAGGAACATGCCCCACTGGCTGAGGGGTGGTTCGGGGCCAGCCGCCTCACCTGCTGGCACTGGGGGCTCCAGCTGGAATGTGCCAAGAGGCAGCCGCCACGTGAATCATTACACCTCGTCAGGTCAGGTCCGCCTAAGACTTCCAGACCTGAACCAGCTCAGGCTGGGCCTCGGCGGAAGAGCAGCCTCCAGGCGGGGTCGCTGGGCCTGGCATGAGGATTCCAGGGGCGCACACCCGTCTGTCCTCTGTGTCCCGCTCTGGCTCTGCCGCAGCTCAACGACAGACCCGCGGAGGTCACCCATCCACGGCTCCTGCCTCTGGGCCTGTGAGCTGGAGCTGCAAAAGCAGACCCCGGATCTGGGGGACGGGGCTGGGAGCACTGACAGAGGCCCCGTCACACGTGGCTGGCTTCACGCCAGGAGCCCACATTCCAGTGGGCAAGTAATCAGACCGGGTGGCTGCGGGGCTGCGGGGTCAAGACGAGGGCTGGGGTGAAGCGGGCGTCCCCACATCTCTCCTGTGGCAGGTCAGGCCTGCTTGGTCTCCGCTCTCCTGTGACCCGGTACGCAGCACTCCAGCCCACCTGAGCTCTTGGGGTGCCTAAAACAGAGTGAAGGCCCTCGCGGAGGCTGCGTTCTTGCCCTGCGCTTCTGAGATGCAGGAAGGGCATAGACAGGCACGGAGTGGACCACCGAGGCACACACACCCCTGAGGGGCTTGAGCTGCCCCGGACACCTGGCAGGCGGACCCATGGCGGCTGGGGGAGGGACCGGCACGCTCAGACCTGCCTCTGCTCCCCCACCAGGGTCTAGGACAAAGTCCTGGGCCAGTGTAGGGCTTGGTGAAAAATAATTAATTTTTTTTCACGTGAAAGCTCTGACTCAGGCCTTTTCCTGTCCCCAACAGCCACCCTTGCTTAGGCCTGAAACACGGAGCACTGCTCAGGGCTGTCCGTGGCCTCCCGTGGCCAGCTGAGCCTGCTCTGCAGCGTCAGGCCTGATTCCAATGGGCTCCAGGTGAGCGGGGTCCAGGGGGCCGGGACCTGCACGTAGTTGTGGGGGAGCAAGGCCAGGGCTCCCCATGGGGCGAGAGCCAAGGCCAGAGGAGTGTGCCTGCATGGGGACAGGCCTGTGGACCTGGCGCTGTGACGGAGGGGTCCTGTGACGGCAGGATCCACACCCGCCGAGAGGTTACTCCTTGGCAAGGACAGAGCCCCCTGGCCCGGTGCCCCATCCTTCCCATCCCGAGAGGTGGGAAAGCCAGGCTCCTGCTGCAGAGGAGGGGGCTGCCCGACAGCTGCTGCAGGAGCCGCCCAAGACTCGGCTGGGCGGGGGTGTTTATGAGCAGCCGAAATGGCTGTAAAAGTGGCACCTCGCTTCACTTATGGTCGGGCCATCCCCTCCCCTACTGGCCCCTTGCCTTGAAAAGCTTCCAGAGGGGCCTGCAGCCCAGCAGAGGTCGGGGTTGAGGCCTGGGCGGAGGCTCGGGCTGGGGTGAAGGTTCAGCCAGGGTTAGAGGTCAGACTGGGAGGGGGACAGCCTGGGGCTGGGGTTCAGCTCAGGATCAGGGCTAAGCCTAGAACGCAGGTTGCTTTGGGGGCTAGGGCTGAGAAGAAGCGATGGGGAGCCATTTGTCCCAGATAGCCCCCAGGCTGGGCCTGGGCGCTCTGGGGGAGCGAGGCCAGGCTACAGGGCGCAGGCTAAGCGGCCCGCCTGTCCAGCCTGGTGCCCACCCTGGCCCCAGGGTCTGTGTACCTTGGCTGGAGCTCCCTCACAGTGGCACGGCCGGCCGGCTGCTGCACCAGCACACTCTGGTTCCGAGCTCCAGGGACACCCAGCTCCTCCTCCCAGGCCCCAGGCTGGGGTCAAAGACGCGGTACACACACCCGTTCCCCACCCCACCAGGCCTTTCCGAATGCCATTGAAACTGACCTGAAACTAACTAGAAACTGACCTGGAGCCCTGGGGCCTGCCTGGCCCTGCCAGGAGCTGGGGTGCAGGTTAATGTGTGACACCCCCGCCCCACTGTGGCACTTTAACCACAGCCTGGGGGTGACTCGGGGGGGCCGGCAGCCCCACTCACAGTGATGGAATGTCTAGCAGGGGACCCACGGCCAGGGGATCCCAAGGGACCTGCAGCCCATCAGACCCCTCTCTGCGGCCTCATCCGCAGCCTCCCACGTACACAGTATTTGTTTCCGCATCTCAGACCTTCTGGAGCTGCACCTGAGGACTGCCTACCATCAGCCTGAGTTTCACCTCTTCCACAGGCTCCTTTCCTCATCGTTGAGCGGGGAGGGGAGGTCAGTGGCCACAGAGCCATAAAACAGTCGCTTAGAACCAAGATGGTCAAAACACAGCCCTGAAGACCTGAAGAGCCACGAGTGTTGCTGGGTGCCCACCTGCTCCTGAGGGGCCCACGTGCCACGGGCGGTCCCCTCGCCTCAGTAATGGAGGATGCAGGGGAACTGGGGACCTTTACACCAAGCAGGGGAACGTCATCCTAACAGAAAAACCCGTGGGGACAAAGGCAGGGGGCGATGGCGGGGAGAAGGCCAGGAGTCTAGTGGACAGTGCCCGTGAGGGAGCGCCATCGTTGGAGGGAAGTCTCAAACAGCACGGGTCTGTGGACATCAGGGCCAGGGAGTGGGCACGGAGGAGGGGTGCAGACATGAAGGGGAGTGGGGACTACGGCTGTGGGTGCAGTCTGGGAGCTTGGGAGGGCAGCTGCAGCTGGAGTCTAGAGTCTCAGGGCTTCTGCCCGAAGTGCATTCACCATGAGGGGAGAGCACCTGCCCTGAGATGGGGGCAGGTGGGGAGTCTGCGGGGAACCCCAGCCTGGGGATCCCCTCCTCCAGGCACTAAACAGCAAATTTACAAGTGCCCTTTTGAATCAACTGGCCAACTTGAGTTCCCCATTTTACAGATGAGGAAACTGAGGCCCAGGCAGCGGGAGAGTGGTTGTGCCCAGGACACGCAGTTGGTAAGTGGACAGGAGAGGCTGCCACTTTTCCTGGGCTTGACATGTCACTTCCAACCCTCCTTAAAACCCTTGCTTGGGGCATCCTTCTGCCTCAGTGCCCTCACTGGACCTGGAGGTGGCAGGCCCCTTTCCCAGCCGAATACAGAAGCGCCCCCCTGTCGGCCCCAGTACCAGGCTCCTTCCTCCCTTCCCCAGTCTAGGGTCTCCAGCGGACCAGGGCTGAGAGCGCCTGGGGTGGGGTGGGGAGGAAGGAGTTAAACCCCACAGTGGGTGATGGACTGAACCCCAGGTCTCACTGCAGGTTGGGGCCAGGCGGGGAGCTGGGTGACCAGGCCACGGCTGAGTGGGTCTCGAGACCTGGAGAGAGGCTGAGCAGGGAGGGTGCAGGACGTGAGGCTGGAGACCCGGGACGCGGTGGGTCCTAGCGAACCGAACCTCTGGCTGGGGATGGGACCAAAGGTGGGAGGCGAGGCGGGGACGGGGCGGGGGGAGGGGGCGGCGGGCCAGGCAGGGTTGCGGGCGGGG